CCCCAAGACCAATTTTCTAGGGGAAACACTGAATATTAATGAGCCTGTTCCAGAAGCAGTCAAGACATTACCTGCTCCATGCTTCACATATGAGCTTGTGTGCTTTGGATCATCAGCAGTTCCTTTCCTTCTCAATACTTTGGCCTTTCCATCACTTTGGTAGAGATTAATCTTGGTCTCATCTGTCCATAAGATTGTCTTCCAGAACTTTTGTGGCTCACCTCAGTACTTCTTTGCAAATTTCAATCTGGCCTCCTGATTCTTATTACTGATGAGTGGTTTACATCTTTGGGTAAGGCCTCTGTATTACTGCTCTCTGAGTCTTCTTCAAAAAGTGCATTGTAATACCTTCACCCCTGAATTGTGGAGGTCGTTGGTGATGTCACTTACTGATGTTTATTTTTTTTCACAGCTCTCACAATATTTCTTTCATCAACTACTGTTGTTTTCCTTGGCCAACCTGTTGGACGTCACTTGCTCAGTACACCAGTAGTTTCTTATTCAGGACAATCCATATTGTTGTGGTTGCTCTGCCCAATGTTTGCCCAATGGCTCTGTTTGATTTTCCTTCTTTTCTCAGCTTCAAAATGGCTTGTTTTTCTCCCATAGACAGCTCTCTGGTCTTCATGTTGGTTTATCCTCTTTAACAAGAAATACCTACTTTATAGGTTTAAACCCGGCCAAAAAGTAGGCTAGTCATGCAGAGCTATTTAATGTTTGAACAATTAACCTTAAAGGCAACACCTGGTCAATAAGAAACATCTGTCAGTCTCATGTTCCAATAGTTTTGCTAACTTGAAAAATGGATGGGTTTCAGGCAAAGGGTGGTATGTTCTGAGTTTAACACATCTAAATGTAAATACTAGGAAATAAAAACTGGCATTCTGAACTCTTGTCTTATCTTTTGATCTTAAACCCAAATGTCTTCAGTGTACAACAAAAACAAGGGAATTAGACTTGCTGTTTCAATACTTTACGAGGGAACTGTAGGTTTTGAATTAGCTTCATGAAAAATTAAGTAATCAAATGCAACAGGGTTTCCTTTTGAAATTTCTATCTAGGAAATTATGCACATTGAATTGAAACGCTTTAAAAGTGTCATTTTTGCAGAGCTTTTGCATTCTGTCCTTTCCTTTGTGCTGCAGACCAGTGGAAGCACATGTCCAAGGCACTGACCAGTGCAGGCCACTCACTGGTGGCTGTGCAGGACAACCTGATTGATGCAGTCTGGATGGACCGCCCAGAAAGACCGAGCACGCAGCTCCATGTGCTGGGATTGGAACACACAGGTCAGACCTCCGTTTCATTTAAATAGGAGCAGATGAGTGTTGTATTTAAGATGCATTGTGAAAAGTTGTGATGTTGTTATTAAAAGGTCCCACTTCTTTTGTAATAAATCTTGACTCTGTGTCATGCCAAGTTGTTGCTGTTTTACCTGCAGGTATTTCCTGGCAGGACAAGGTTACCGCACTACGAGGCAAGATGACAGAGAGGAAAATCACCTGGTTTGTTGCCACAGCACTGGATGAGATTGCATGTACGTTACGTTTTCTGAAGAACAAGTTGTTTCAATTGCGTAAAACTACTGAAATAGTCAAACAGTGCATGCTAACAAGGCAAGAATTTGTGCTGCCATCTTGATAAGTGCTATGGGGGTGTTGGTTATTGTCAGCACGGCAGCAGATCATGATCTGAGAGAAAAACTAAACTCGGCCCAGAGACTCAATACCTGTATCTCAGTCATTGCAGCCCATGTAGACCACACCCTTCGCTGCATAAACAGCTGTGAAATGAGACAGTCTAGTCTAGTTTAGCGCCAGTACTTGTAATTTCATTTTGTTTAACATCTCATTGCAGCAAAAATTTCATCAGCTAAGTTTCTGAGCTTACATTTTAAAAACAAATTCTTTGGTCCGTGATGTCGGTCCAAACATTGACATTAAAGAAAGCTACCATCTTCGTTTTCCTGTTTAGTTTGCTGACGATGCAATGAATCCTGGGATATTGTCCACCACGTAGAATACTCAGATGCAGCCTATGTTTGTGGGCCGCATTCGCCGACCACATGAGTAGACACCCACGGATTGGGACAGCTTATGGCTCGGCACTGTGACGAAAGCGGCCAACAAACGTGCCCTACGTGTGCTGCAGCCCCTGAATTGAGAGAGAGACGACATTTGTTGTTGTTATTCATTACAAACTCATTACAGTATTTTCTTTTATTCTATTTTCACAATATGCATTATAATAAAGCCATATTTATGTGTTTTTGGACTTATGACACAGCAAGCACAAGTTACAACGTGTGGCTTGACCATGTACTGTAAACAATACAGTGTGATGTATGTAGCACCTATCAAGATGGCGGTCATTACCCTGCCTAGCGCCACCTGTGGTCATTCAAGTGTTTTTATATTTCAGTATGCAAAACAGTCAGCCTAAGCTAATTTTGTCTCTTCCATCAGTTTGTTCCTATATTTCAAAATCATTTCATAAACCAGAGATTTGTAATAGTTTCCTAATTCATAGATTATTTTTTTCTTTGTTTAATCTGAGGGTTTGCATTGTTTATTAAAATGTTTAAGTTTCTAATCAAGTAGTAGCTTTTTTACCAAGTTTGTTCTCTCTGGCTCATTCAAGCTTTCACAGTGAATAAGTAATATATTTCAACTAAGTGATGGGTTGAAAAAATAAATAAGAACATATGTATTTTTTTAAATTAAAAACAATATGCTGTAAAATACTAAATATACACTTGTTTCTTATTTTTGCAGGGCTTTTCAACCTCCGTGGTGCAGATATTAATTACAACCCAGTTTTCTTTGCGTATACAATAGTAGGAATGAACTCCATCAGGTAATTCCAGCAACAAACTGGTTTGAAACCAATTTAACTTTAAGGTCGTATTCACACCTGACACATTTGGTCCGCTTTAAAAAGACCAGAGTTCGTTTCCAGCTTTGGTCCGGACTTTATGTGCAGGTGTGAATACACTCGTGAACTCTGGTGTGGGTCAAACAACCAGACCAAGTCCTGCTTTTTGAGGTGGTCTCGGTTCACTTCAGTTCGCTTCTGGTGTGAATACAGACCGGACTTGAACCGAACCAACTGCATAAAACATGCACCTTTTTGGACTTCACAGGCCACCATTGCTGAGCTAAATAAACTGAAATCATACCTGATTCATCGTCTCCTGTTAGCAGCTCTGCTGACAGCATGTTGTGGGTCAGAACACGCAGCGCACCTCATCTCCTTTGGGTTGCGGGACATTTACTGACGCTGCTCCAAAATTAGAATATCATCACAGAACCACCATTAAATTAGCTGCTTCTGACATTTTAAATGCCATT